CTGAAATATATTTTAAATCATCTCTGGATTGCTTATATTAACTAATAATATGTAAATACTATATAAATACTTACTGTATTAGACTGTTTAGGGGAAACTGAAAAGAAAAGAACCGTTTATTTAGTTAGTTGAAATTATAGATCCAAAAATCATATGTACAGGCTGAGCACAGTGGCACACGCCTGTAATCCCAGCGACTTGGGAGGAGGAGATAGTAGGATCCCAAGTTGAAAGCCAGCTTCAGCAATTTAATGAGGCACTAAGCAACTCAGTGAGATCCTGTCTCTAATATAATACAAAATAGAGCTATAAATGTGGCTCAGTGGTCCACCGCCCCTGAGTTCAATTCCTGATATCCCCCAAAAAACATAAATGCACAAGGTTGAATACAAAAATTATCAAGTGCTAGCAAAAATCAAATAATATATGATACAATCTAGTTTTGCAAATATCTATATACCTAGAAATATCTTTATGAGAACATGGTCATATTATTAATTCATAATTATTTAGAGAATTTAACAAACTAAAAAGTTTCTTCTTTTCAAAAGAAATAATTTGTGAAGTGAATAAGGAGCCTATAGCTTGAGAGAAAAAGTTTACCCCTCACACATTAGATAGAACACCACTCTCTAGAGTATATAAAGAACTCAAATGCAAAGCACCAAAAAACCAAATAACCCAATCAATAAATGGGCCAAGGACTTGAACAGACACTTCTCAGACACTTCTCAAATGCTCATCATCTCTAGCAATTCAAGAAATGTAAATCAAAACTACTCTAAGATATCATCTCACTTCCGTTACAATGGCAGCTATTATTAGGACAGCAATAAGTGTTGGTGAGAATGTAGGGAAAAATGTACACTTATACATTGCTGGTGGGACTGTAAATTGGAGCAGCCAATATGGAAAGGAGTGTGGAGATTCCTTGGAAATCTGAGAATGCAACTACCAATTGACCCATCTATCCCTCTCCTTGGTTTATAGCCAAAAGACTTAAAAAATAGCATGCTACAGGGACACAGCCACATCACTTTTTATAGCAGCACAATTCACAATAGATAAACTGTGGAGCCAACCTTAGATGCCCTTCATTGGATGAATGGATTTTTAAAATGTGGCATATATACACAATGAAATTTTACTCATCATTAAAACAAAATAAAATCATGACATTTGCAGGTAAATGGATGGCATTGGAGAAGATGAAGTTAGCCAATTCCAAAAAAAAAACAAAAAACAAATGCTGTATGTTTTCTCTAATATAAGGAGGCTGACTCATAGTGAGGTAGGTAGGAGGAGCATGGGAGTAATAGATGAACTCTAGATAGGACAGAGGGGTGGAAGGGAAAGGGAGGGGGCAGGGTGTTAGCAAGTACGATGGAATGAAATGAATATCATTATCCAAAGTACATGTATGAAGACAAGAATTGGTGTCAACATACTTTATATACAAACAGAGACATAAGAACTTGTGTTGCATATGTGTAATAAAA